TTTGTACCTTGCCTGGTTTGCGAAATTGTTCTTCGTCAAAGAAATCTGCATATTTTTCCGGTGATCCGTACGCGAGGTCTAGACGCGTACGAGTGAAAATTTTAAAACGGGAGGATGACACACGAGTTAGGAACATATATCCAAAATTTCAGCCTCCCAGCTTTCCTGGTTGCTGAGACGAAAGTGGGTGAAAAAGTTGACTTGCTTCTGAACACACACACACAGACAACTTCTCGACAATATAAATTTTTGCTCGCTGTAGCAGCGCTAATAGAGCTGCGCAGCAAAAACGCATGAAAGGTAATCGCTAAAGGTCACACTTTTATTCTAATGGAATTCTTTGTGTACTGAAATTTGAAATTAGCAATAAAAGTCTTATTCCTTATCTTTGAACTATTTAAACGTTCGGGATTGTCCTGCTTTTTCACAGTCAGTAAAATATGCCTGCCGTAGGTAGTCGCTTACCTCTCGGCGTGTCTTACGCGCAGACAGCTTATGCTGTGGGCGATGAAGCGCTTGCACTGGAGCAGATGATCGAATTGCAGGATGGTTACATAAATATGATGCTGCGAGTAATGATAAACGAATTTGAAAATTTTATTTTTATTCTCTGTGCGAATTACTGGTTGGACGCTTTTTTCAAGCACGTGGTGTTATATTGTCCGGAGCATTGTCAGAGCCAGAATTTTCTTGAACGTCAAGACGATGGGAGATGAAAACGAAGTGGAAGAATCAGCAACAGTTTTTTATAGGACAAAAGATATTTATCCGTCCACTAACTAACAGCTATGTCATACAGAATCAGAATTCAAAAACTTGCAAAAATTGTTAAGATAGAAAAAAGGAGAGGTTAAACTATTTGAAAAAAGGCGCCATTTTTTCTGTCCTCCGTAAAACGTTGTTCTAGTTCCCTAACTGTGTATTAATTTCAGCTCTTGTACATGTACCCAGAGAAGAACTGGCCAGTTCTGAAGGCGGCAATTGCTAAAAGCATCGGCATGATGCTTGAAATTTGAAACGTCGCGAAATCACAATTAAGCACAGTTCTAAGGGATTAAATGCGGTTAAGACACTTGTAAAAGCATCACTAAACTTCTGCTGCTCTTTGAATTGTATGCCGGGCTTTTTTTGATTGTTTAATAAAATGAAACTTAAACGGCTTCCACGTTTCCTAGTTAGTTTTTGCAAGTATTTGACCCTTCCCTTTATTCCCACGCTTCTGCTCTTTTGCTTCCTTGGCTTTGCATGTTTGTAAAGCGAAGTGCGTCGAATCATCGCATGAATTGTTTATAAATCATTGAGTAACTGTATATTTGTGCAGTATACACAATTCGAATACGGGCAGTTGCCGTAACACTTTGCTCAACGGACTTACTACTCCCTTCAGATACTTGCTCGAGGTATCGAATGCTTTTTTATTCTGTATCTTTGCATTTATGCAGATTAAAAACATCCTAGGTTGGTTATCTATATCTATGTCTTTACCTATCTCACAATTCAACTCGGGAACTACAGCAGAGAACTGACTCAAATTTTTTGGGGCTGAAATTCTTGACTATTAGTCAAGGCTACCGCAATCTTAAAAACAATTTATGTCTGGCTTTTTATGATGACCAACAACCTTAGGTCCATTCGAACTAATTTTACTGTTTAAGAAGCAAGAAGGTTATAAACGGAAATTGTGGAACAATTTTTTATGAAATAATTTTAAACACCCTGAAGCCACAGCCCAAATCCTACTGGAATTTGTTTTAATGACTATGTACTTACCGAATAATTTTGAGAAACAATGAATGAGAACTCAGGCTGGAAAGCACTAGTTTAGCCGGTGCGATCATGCGTTTTTGCACAGTTTTCTGCAGATTTAGTGTTGCGCCAATACGATTTTTGTTCGCGTTGGCTTTACTGAGTGTCTTTTTCACTGACGGTCGTAGCCACACGGAAGCGAAGAAGTGCTCTTTTGGTGAAATATAGATGCACACAGATAATTTATGCTCCTGCAATCATTTATAATCAGGGAACATTCACTCAGAAACTTGTCATTCCGTCCAGTTACGGAGGTACGAAGATGCCAGAAGTTTTGGAGCCTGAATTTTGCTGTATCGGTATGCGGGGCGCAGACGTTAGTGGAGGGTGATATCGTGGGCTGATGCCGTATGAAATATGCTAACATTATCGAGAAATCACATTTCTCTTGCCTGAATAATTAGAGTGAGGGAAAGAGAGGGAGAGAGATAATGATGATGATGCTAGTGTAGCAAATTGAACACGTCGATGTGCAAGGCATATACGTAGCTAGAAAGTCGTTTCAAAACTACTGGCCCGCACATAAACAGCGAGCATACTCAGCAAAACACTGCTTCCTGCTCGGTCCAGGTACAAGGCTATTTGGGTATCAACGGTGTCTAAAAATAACAATTCACTTGCGGCGCACACGAGAGCTGGGTATGCTCTAGGGCTTAAACAGTAGCGTTTTGGTCGTACACGAGCACAGAATATCCTTGTTTAGCATAAGTTTTCTAGTATGCACCTGGTTAGCGAAATCGCTTCTTGTTACATAGAATATTCGACGCATCCGAACCCACGACCCAGGCGTATGCCAAAGGTCATTTTAATTTGCTCGTACAATTACGGGAAATAAATATTCTCGTGAAGTTTGGACGTCCTGTTTAACTTGGTTCCAGAATTGGCATTTTGCCAACAACAAATGTGACCTGTCCGTACGTGAAGTGTACATGTCTGTTAAAGCTGAATTTGAAGTCTTTTGTTCACGCATAGACACAGAATAACCCTGCAGAGTTTCTGCTCTTTGTCTTGTCTGGTCCCCAAGATTGCTTTCCCGCCAAAAAGTTTGCATATTTTTCTAAGACGTCCATACGCAACACCCGGGCTTACACAGGTGATGATATTAAAACGGGAGGGTCGGACGAGTGGTGGGCACATACTTCTGAAGTTTCAGCCTTCTAGCATTTCTGGTCCTCGAGTTGAAAGGGGGTGACAAAATGTGCGAACACACACACACACACAGACAGCCTCTTGCCAATATGCGTTTTTGCAACTTGCATATATGCAACCCAGGCTGGAACGCACCAGGTGAGCCGGTGCGATCATGTGTTTTTGCATCAAACTTTGAGGTACTCCATCAA